AAAACATTTGCACAGCCCAAACATTTTTGTGAGTAGGCAAAAAAGCAGAGCTGTAATCCAAACTTCAGACAAACAAATTCTTCAAATCTATTGAAAATGACTAGATATTTGGAGATTGAACCTTATATCTGATCCTGAAATTCCAAGGTAAGATCCACTGTGGTCGAACTCCACTGCAATAATAAAAAAGAATATCACATCTTCCCACAGAAGAATAAAAATACATGCATATTGCTGTAGAACAAGATTGCCCAACCGAGAACTTAAGCGGGCATAAAAAAACAAAGCCTCAAAAAATAAAAGAAAGAAATATAGCCAAGCTTGAAGTTTTTAAAACCACTTAACATACAGAATTCATCATAGCAAGTATGACTTGTCAGGTAGTGGGAATCAGGTTGACCAGGGAGTACCATAAAAGCTTGAAAATCATAGGAACTATTGCCAACAAGATGTTGCCACTAGCCATGAAGGCATACACATATACATAAGGAAAAGTATCACAATAGTAACACACACCAGAGTTTGTAGGTGTGTCAGAATCATAGAGATTGAGCGTCCGGAAGTTTTTCAATTTCCTCAGATCCCACAGCTTAACACTATCATGGGCAGCAGTCTGTCAAGTATAAACATTAAATCAGACCATCCATCACAGCATGTGTTGTTCGGAAAAAATAAAAAGATACTTACAGCCAGAAAGTATCCATTTTCAGAGAAAGATATTGCTGTCACTGGTCCAACATGGCCTTCAAATTTTGCAACATTTGCCTGCATATAAACAAAGAATGCAAAAGAAGTAAAACTTCAAACAATTTTAATTAAACCATCAGACAAGGGTTCTATTTTGTGCACATCTGGCCTCTACATGCTGCACCCTGAAAAAGCAAGAAACACAACAATTTTGATAGTGAGTACCTGACTTTTTACATCCCAAATTTTAACAACTGCTTCTGAAGTGCCTGTTCCAAGGATGAGACCATCAGGATGAAAGGCAGCAGATGTATAGCCATCAGTTTTGGACGTGTCAGCAACCTGCAAAATTAAACATCCATGTATAGTTTGCCTAGAACCAGATCCAACATACACAATGAAATTTTAACATGAAAATTGAAACAAAAACTATAAGCAAGTTTAGAAAATTAACATTGACTGAAACATTTAGAAACCTTGTGTAATAGAGGATATTTTAACCTAAGTATTTGATAACAGCTTGAAGAAAAATTACCATGGTACAGGAAAAATACTCCAGAGTTGCACAATACAAAAACATACTTCACCATTCACTTTCTGTCTGATCTTAGTGAACTTTTAAATGTGCCTCTTTTGAGCTTTCGAGCATGAAAAAAGGCATCATAAATGGAGAATAATGGGCAGTTCAACATTAATTCCCTGTTAACTTTTCAACTTATTATTGGCAAACTAAAATAATTGAAATAGACCACAAGCATGTGATAGGAGGATTCAATTGTTTGAATTTAGGTAAAATGTAAAGGTAATCACTCCTGAACTTTCATGAATTCTGCAGATCGTTGTATCAAATGAAACACAATAATCAGTCATGAAAGTGTGAATCTCAGAACAGGTGATGAATTTTTATATTTTGGCAATATCTTTTCTGCTATCAATTTTCCTACATATTTCACAGTGGGGAAAAATTGAAAATAACTACTTTTGTGAATGTGCACAAGACATAGATGAGCACACGTGCACACACAGGAGGAGAGAGCAGACCTGAGTCAAGCATAAACCAGAGGAGAGATCATAGAAGCACCATGTATTGTCAAGAGAAGCAGTCACGAAGTAATTATTCGTGGAATGAACAGTGACAGCTTGAACCTGACAGAGTTTGCATGCATATCAATATCATGTAATAAAAATGGCACAAAATCAGTACAACATCACAACCAAGCTGAGAAAATATTAAGATACCAAGAAGTACGCAAATACATAAGTGTTTTGAGTCCACAAAATCTGGTCAGGAAACAGCGCTGCCTTGTAATAAAAGCAGATGCTTTCCATAAACTTGATTTGATTGATCTCAGAATGACTCAATTCTAGGTCAATGGTTTTAAACTAGTTGTGATCATTTAGTTCAAACAAGCTTTGCAAATTTCATTCAGTGTACAAGGCAAGCATAAAATGTAGTACATGACTCAGGATTTTGCTTCCTCAAGCTCACATTAGGGAATTTCCTTTGAGCTCCCCTCAAAGAAGGCATTTATCCAAAAAACAGGCTACAATAGCTATTTAAATTAGCCTAGAAAGGCCCCATTGGCAGAGGTTATCTATCTTCTGCCCTATTTAACATAAACCTAAGCATTGCACTTCATTAAAGCAAGCATCCACTCTAGAACATGCCTGGATTTATCAAAACAGAAGCAACGTCTGGAATCTGTATCCCAATATCAGGCTAACAATCAGTCATAGATTATGAAACAGGACCAACGTGGGTTGAAAGGCAATTACCTCTGCAGTATGATCCTTCAGGATGTGTCTGCAATCATAGTTCCCATCTTCAGATCCTTGCCACACTCGAACTGTCTGCAGCATTTTAAAAACAAATTAAATCCTGATGAATGCCTACAAACACTAATTTAAGAAAGGATACTTGTGGATGAGAAGATCCAGATGTCAGAAATTCAGTTCTTTAATGGGTGAAAAAGAAGTGGAAAAGAATCAGGGGAAGGGCCTATCAAAAAGTCCAGTCTCATCATAAGGTAAACTTTAAGATTCATAATAGCTACAAATAGAACTAGTTTGAAGATCACAGTGGACATTGTTTCATGATGTAATCCTTTACAAAATAAAATTCGTGGCCATGATGCAAGTGACCTCCTTCATGGGAGATTCGATTCCATACAAGCAATTGCTTCCACATCCACAACCACTAAATGATACTAAATCACTGTTTCCTTGAAAAAGGGCATATTGCATTTACATTCTCATGGTCCACTCTGACCTTTTATTTTAAAAGAATCCTCAGTGTTTTCCTATAACTACAGACCGGTTGAAATTTGATGAGTAAATCCTACATGACAGATTATACTACAAACTTTTAGAAGTTCCAGCAAATGGCACCTTAACTCCAGTACTAGATTTGCAATGATCTAAACCCTTTCAGTTGAATGCTTTTGTTTCTCATAAAAAAGCATGATTTTTTCAGGTTGAGCAATTCAAGGACTACAACTGACAGATCAACAAATAATTTGGGACACACTAAAAAAGGAACATTGGGACATAAAGATGAGATGATGGGAGTGATATTCTATGTGGGTTTGCCAAGCTTCCTGGTTCAACCAAGTAGAGTAAAGCCAGTTCAGACCATGATTAGGAAAAAAACACAATCAGCCAAAAAGGGGGGAAAAGACAATAACAATGCTAAACAAGAAGTTTAACACCCACCAAATTGAACATTGCTTACCTTATCTGCTGATCCAGTTAAGAAAAATTCACCCTCAGCCACAAATTTCACACTTGTTACCTACAATAAAAATGATGTTATCATTCATAAGTTTTACTAAAATGCAGAGGTACAGCATTAAATGAAGTAAAATAACAACCTTCTTTGAGTGACCACTGAGTGCAGATGCAATCTGCCCTGAAGGCCGATCAAAGATGACAGCAGTTGCATCACACCCGCCAGTAGCAATGATATCCTGAAGACCAGAGAGAAAAGGTGCATCAATCGCCACAAATCAGCAAGTAAGCAAAGCAATTTAGCTCATTAATGTTAGTTATGCCACTGCTAAACATCTAAAAAATTTGTTAACCTTAGACAACAATTATATGATATAAACTCAAAGCAAGCTCCTATCACCCATTCCCAACATAAGATACAGAGTGTGCGTTATTAGAAGAGCAAAAACAAACAAAATCCCCAAGTTCGGTATTTTAATGAGACAAACACTAGGCATATACTAAAACATGAACAGTAGCATGGAAAACCAGATGAGAGAAGCTTTCCTGAAAACATGTATAAGCCACCATAGAACCACGTCAATGTTTCATAATTAATTACGGTTTAACTTTTAGCTTTCATCAGTCATTTCTCAATAAACTGCAGTTATGGGGAAATGTTGCAACATCATAGTCAAATACGCTACATGCAGCAATTTTTCAAACATTATACTCATGTGCAGAAGAACACCACAAATACAGCAACTGTATAGCAAGTGGCCTAAATTTGATGCACAAGTGAATAGTTACACAGAGTCAGGAAATTTCCCACGGCATTCAGAATACAGAACAGCACATGACTAAATGCAGCTGGGAAACTATTTGTTTACAAAAATCTTCTAAACAGATAAACCTACTGAGTATATAAAATTCATCAACAGATCAATTTTTACAGATTTTCCTACCTTCGAATATTGTATATCGATAGATAAGATGCCTGGCTTGCTAGTTCTGTGAAGTGGATGGCTAGAAAGTTGAGTGTACCTCTCTAGGGCATCAATAGGAGCCAATGTTGGAGGAACCTAACCATTAAAAGGGGAACAGAAAGATGAATATCAGATCAATCAAGCAGCACATACAAAAGAAGAGGCTCGAACTTCATTCATTTCTTATCCTCTTAAATAAACCACGCAAACAGATACACTTTGAAAACTTAGTCATGCCAAAGTAATGTAACTATATCCACAATCTACCAACAGAAATTTAGTACTCCTACATTAAAATGCATCAGTACCTGCCGCTTTTTCCGCTGTTGCGAAAGAGCTGCATTACAATCTGTAAGCTCAGTAATGATGCTAGCAGAAATTCCAGGTCGTACTCTCTTCCCAGGTTGGCCCAAATCATCATCCTTGGCAGCTATTACAA